TATCATAGTAGATCAGTGCGCAGGTGCTTGGGTAGTTTGGTGACCTGACTGTACAGGCATACCAACAATGCAGACATTCGCAGTAGATAAATCATGTGAAATCTTAAACATCCAACTACTGGGGGAATGATTACTTGGTTTGTTTGTCGGTGTTCTTCTTCTTCTTCTTCTTCTCTTCCACCTTGTACCTCATCGAAGTGTCGGGGGGTTCTCGGTGTTCACTAATTGCAAAAGCGAGGGGGGGGGGGTGGTGGAAATCCTTGTTGTTCGACCATATCTCGATTTTGACTTTGTTCCCAGGACTTGAGCTTTGCGTGTATTTTCGCTCTACTGATCTAATTATCTGTGCGCAGTCTCTTGTCTCCTTGTCTGTCATGCAGATGCACTCCGATTTTGAATGAAACAATCCTAATTAGTCGCCATTATAATATGTTTGTTAGGGGGAGAAATGCCGCCTTTACTTTGCAGGACGTTTCCTGGTACCCATTTAATGGTGCAACGACCTGAGAGCCATGGTAAAAATTGCCCAAATGCGCCCGGCACAGATTTAAACGCAAGACCTTCGGACCCGGGGACGAACGTCTAGCCATTAGGCTATTTCATGGAAAGATATAAAAGCGAACAAACGGTAGATCAGCCAGCTTCACAGTATGACAAATACAAACGAAAAGTGAACGTTTAGGCTACAGAGCATTCATCAGCATATACATAAATCAAAGAAAACCACAACAATAATATACAAGAATGATAGGCACAAACAGATAGTAGCAGTTCTGGGAGGGTCGGACACGCAAGGTAAGTGAAAGTAGTGAACTGTGGAGAAGCTATAAAAATATAATGGAAAGATATAAAAGCGAACAAAAAGTAAATCAGCGAGCTTCACAGTATAACAAACACAAACGAAAAATAAACAATGCATGCGGTTTCCTGTTTCCGGTCCTGATCGATGAGCTACTTTATTTCACATCTTTGATATGCCCCACCCTCCTAGAACTGTTTCTTTCTGTTTGTGCCCCTGTGATTGGTCGGTGCTGTAATTTTACGAATTTTCCTTTCAACTATTTCATTATTTTCAGGTAAGTGATTTCGTATACATTTGTTCTTATGTGGGGTATTCTCATGTAATGCGCTGATGAGGGCTCTTTAGCAGCAACGGTTCCGTGTCGTTTGTGTCTGCCCTAACGAGGTGTTCACTGATTCTATTTGTCGTTTGGTTTGGTATTCTGTCATACCATATAATGAGCAAGACATGGTGAGGATGGTCTGCGGATATCGCAGCAGGGATCCTAAAATGGATCCAAAAGAAGAGGGGGGGGGGGGGGACTGCAACCTCTGGACATAAGGAGTTCGGTTTTGCGAAAATGCCAGATTTTTTATTGCTATATATGCTGTATATGTGAAACCAGAAAATTACACATGTACAGAACAAAGATATTAAAAAAAATTATATAATAAAAAAGAAAGTCTTAAAAGTCTATGGTTAAGCACCAGTAAGGAGATCAAAATTCGAATTTTGAGAGCATGCATCTTTCCTTCCTGTGGCTGCGTACGGATGTGAGTCGTGGACTATCTCCCAGGCTTGTATGATGTACTGGTGGGGTACAACTTACTTAACTTCCTGCCACATTCTTTTTCGCTGCGCATGGCGTTGATATTTTTTGTTTTCTTGTTTTTGTGTGTGTGTTTAATATACCCAGAAACCACGATTTTTAAACCCCTTACTCGGTACTATGGATATCGCAATTCTTTTGGCTTTATTCCATGATAGATACCGTAAATCTATGAAATATGGGGCTTTTCTGACTACCCCCAAGCGCGAACTCTGGTAGCCGCACAGGCTGGTTAACCAACCGAGCTAGCGCGCCGGGTGCATGGCGTTAATAAAATCGCCTCTGTCCAGTACTTGACCAGCCCGTCCGTAGCTGAATCAACCGGACAATGGTTCTATTATACCTTACCGCTCCTGTCCAGTTTCTGATCAGTGGCGCTTCCTTTACGGAATCTTACACTTTGTTACTTACATTTGTATTCTGTTTTGGTTTACTGGAACTTCTTAAGGATGAACTAAAGAATTTTTTTTTAAAGAAAATGCGCCAGAGGATAATAGTTAGATGCTCACCTGCTAGCCCGAAGATCTTTAGTTCGGATGAACATAGAGTTGCATTTTTAAAACTGACATGCCTTCTATGCATATCTAGTAAAAGGTAACCTTTCCACGCTTTTAGGCGTGTTGGGAATACAGGAATAGACCTATATTTTTATAGACCAATCGGCACTTGGTGGGTGATGTGGTCAGCATCACGCCGGTCACCTTTACTTCCCAGGACTGCACCTGGTACCCACTCTAGGCTATGTCGACCTGGGGAGTCACGGTCATTTTTGGAGAAAAAATAGTCAGGTTCAGTCAAGACGCGAGTGCACGACCTTCCGATCCACGGGTGGGCGTCTAGCCTGAAACGCCACTGGGACTTCCCAAGGCACATCTAGCCTAGCCTGAAATAAGTGTCAGGACATTTCATGGGAAGTAACGGCAGCCGGTAAAATATTGATCGGATCATCTTTTGAATTCTAGTAGTTCTATAAAACCACGGGGCTAGCATAATGTGCCCAGGTAATTGATGACGTGGAGAAAGGATCCGCACTAATTGTAACTGTTCTTCTTATCAACTACAGGGGTGACACGAACTAAAGTACGGAATCCAACAGTGTAGTTCATAGTTCAGGTACAATGACCTACATCTCTGGTACAATGGACCTTTGTCACACACTATAATACTAAAAAGGGAGATACCGGATAGCACAGTAGCTAGCTCGCTTACGTACTATCGCTGTGATTGTGTTTTCGAATCCTCTTTGAAGCTGAATATTTTTCCTTAGACCTGGACTCTCAGGTATTCTTTTTTTTCAGTAGCCTATGATGTGCGGTATTGGTAGTTATGTTTGTTCACAGCCCTCTGCCTCGCTTACTGGCAGTCATTTATGATTCGATGTTCTTCTGAAAGTCAGTTCAGCGTAAAATTAGGAATTAGGAACCAGATATTAGAAATTGTCATGAACAGTGATGGCGACCAGTTGACATGGCTGTTCTGACATAGATGTTTTTCTGCAGGCCAATCCAGTATAAAATTAGGAATCAGGGATAAGATATTAGAAATTTTCATGGAAAGTGAAGGCGACCAGATTGATTTTGGTTGGGTATATCTTAAATTTTCGGGCCCAGAAAGAGATTTCCCTTTCCATTCACAAATCAACGTGTCGCACGGCTTGTGCTATGTTGCGGGGGTGTCACGCTGAGTAACCGGCTACCAGTACTCAGTATTTTATTAGTTGTTGTCACCAGCCGGCGATATCGCGTGTTCTATATTACAGGATGAGAACGCTTTAAAAGGTATCGAAACATGTTAAACTGGCCCTAACCCCAACCCTCCTACGTTCCACGGCGATCTCTCAGTGGTAAGGGAAATCACTTTCTTTCTGGGCCTGAAAACGTGAGTTGTAATAGAAATTTTCATAGGAAGTGAAGGCGACCAGTTTTATATTGGCTGTTCTGATATAGTTGGGGGTCGTTTTTGTCTGCAGGCCAATCAAGTATAAAATTAGGAATTAGATATTAGAAACGTTCATAGAAAGTGAAGGCGGCCAGTTTGACATTGGCTATTCTGATAGATATTTTTTTCTCCAGTGCTAGAGGTTCCAGGTTCAGTCCCCGGTAAGGGCTGTGATTTTTTTAACGTGGACTTGGACTTTTAGTAATTCCCCCTGGTCTCTGGATAGTGAGATCGGACGCCCGTGTGCATTGTTGCGCACGTAAAAAATCCCCTGGCTGTTGGAAATCGAAAAAGTAGCCTAACGGCGCTGCTCTAGCAAAATTTGAAGTTACAAATTTACCCGAAGCATTTAAGGATCCTCGCCGGTGCTACAGAGCTTGTGCACAGTGTTGAGCTTCTTCGGACTTAGACTTGAGTTAGAAGAAGAACAGAGGACTTATGTGTGCTATGAGGTCGATCCGTTGATCAAAACCTCAAACCTTTTATTGGAAAGCCGCTTGGAGAATTGACAAACAAATTTATAATGAACGTCTTGCTTCTGTATAGCTAGTTAGCTAATTAATTAGTTAATTCCCCGTGTGGATTCCAAGGCCCTATTGTTAGGAAAACAAGCATAGACCCACTGCCTCGCCAACAAGCACACCGTCAGAGTCGACGGATAGGGGGTTTCCTTCGAAGTTGGAGTGCATCTGCCTGAGAGGCAAGGAACCAAAAGTCTACATACCCAAAAAAGTAAATTCTTTAGCAACACTCCCGATGATAAGCAGCGGAATTTGTCAGGCAATAAAGTGTGCAGTGTATTATTTCGTCTTCGCTGTTCATATTTTAATTGGATACGTGTGCTGTTGTTGGTGTTATTTGTGTTTGTTTTTATTCATAGATAGTCTAATGTAATCAAAACACGACCATGTCTCCCAGGTAGAACTAGCCTAAAATTGGTACCAGGTAAAGTCCTTGGAAGTAAAGGTGGCAGATTTCACGTTGACCACATTTCCCCAAGTGTCGATTAGTCTATAAAATATAGGTCTAGCACTCTATGCCCAATACGCCTAATGGCGTGGTGAAGGCTCCTTTGCTTTACAAAAGGTCACACATGTACGCTACTTGATTGTATGAATCTTTCTGTACTTCTTCAGTTTGCAATTTTAGCACTAGATTAGTGATTCTCTTGATGTCCAGGGCTTAGGGTTTGCAATTCCGATTTACCCCGTTCGATATCGGTAACAGGCTATTCGGCAACAGACCACCTTGTGTTGAGTTCGACAAAATGTTTCGAGAGCCGATCGTTGAGTAAGCAATGGCAAACTATTGGACGTACAACTGCCTAGTAAAACAACAAACAGCTGGTTCTGTAATGTCTTCTACACTAAAGAATACGCAGTTAACTTTTTTTTTTCACAGCAATTCTAACATACATGTTACTCTCTCAAGACGACAGGTACCACTACCAAGATGGCTAACTCTGAAGTGATAATACGGGAAGCACGTTTGGAAGACTTCGACGATTTTGTCGAAATTGGTGACGTCTACGAAGGCAAGGATTATCTGATAGACCACTACCACAGCTACTTCAATAACCCCGTGATTTATCCATTAGTTGCTGAGGTTGGCGGGAAAGCGGTGAGTTCAGTCTTTTTGACTTATTTATAGATAGTAGCTCCATCTGATACAGCACGCAGTGTTTCGCAAAATCACCTTCATTTTTTTTTGGGGGGGGGGGGGGGAATCCGGAATCCCAGGGTATACTGGTGTGAAAGGCAATGAGAAAGCAAACGGCTTGGCTGGCAGTGTGACTATTAGGAATGGACCAACTATGGGTAGGAGAGACATCATCAATGCCACACGAGAGATTAAAAGCTGTGAGGCTTTCAGTTTCGTGGAAAATGATTTTTCAATGAACAGACTGCATACCCTGGGTGTACCAATTGGAGCAGCGAGAAAGGAAATTAGTACGGGAGCCACCCGTCGTTACATCAGCCAAAACAGAATTGAAGTTGTCAGCCTAAAACACTTGGGAGATAAACTGAAGAGGCGATCGGAGCACTTATGGTCATGTCCGATTTTGAAGGTGATCTTTAAATGACCCCAAAAAAATTTTTCATGAACATTTTCCTCGTTCTTTCTTCTTCTTCTGCCTTTCTATCCCCCAATGGAGCATAGGCCCTCAACCAACTCACGCTAAATCGTTCTATCCTTCGCCATTGCATGGAGCTCTCCCCAAGTCCTCCCCATCTTTCTAACTTCATTCTCCAGCTCTCTTCTCCATGTTTTTTTTTTTTTTTTTTTGGGTTCGCCTTCCCTTTTTCCTATGCCCCTGTTGGTTCCAATGCAAAGACATTGTAGTTAGGCTGTTCTCCTGTTTTCTCAGTGTGTGTCCTATCCAACGCCAGGGTATTTTTCTCACCTCTTGGTCCACTGGAGCCTGTTTAGTTCTCACCCAAAGCTCTACATTAGTTATTTCATCATACCATTTAATTCCTTCTATTCTACGCAGGCACCAGTTAATGAATGTTTGTAGTTTATTAGTAATTGCCTTGGTTGTTCTCCGTGTTTCCGCCCCATATGAAAGTACTGATTTGACATAAGAATTAAAAATGTTTAGTTAAGTATTTCTTTCCTCGTTAGTCGAGGTTAAAGAAATCACCGCAAACAGGTCGCTCCATAACTTCTCCATCCCTGTGCCAGTGGTAAACAAAGTATTCTTCCTTTACTCTACCCGTGTGGGTTCTGTGGCCCTATTTGGGGGCGTTGGGGGAGGGGGGGGGGTGACACTCCCTCTCCCACTCCCAAGCTAATTATGCATAATGTCTTCTAAGTCGGAATACATCTGCCTGAGAGACATGTAATCAACAGTCTGCATAAACACAAGCCAGATCTGTAAAACGAATGTACACGCAAAACTCAAGTTATGGAAGAGGAACAAAGTCCATAAGTGAACGAACAACCATAATTTTCTACCGCAGTTTATAGTCGGTGAAGAGGTCCTGAGAGAAACTGACTTACGAAGAGAACTGACTGTCCACATCAGAAAGAGACAATCTACCTTCTTTAATCATGTGATGAGAAGGAGAAAACTGGAATGCATAGTGACAGTAGGAAAGTTGGAGGCGAGGAGAGGCAGAGGGAGATCGACAGAAAAGATGCTGGGCAGTTTGACGTCATGAAATGAAGGATCATCTGTGTCAGAGTTGATTGAAAGTACACGACACAGAAGGTTGTGAATAGACTACCAACGCCACACGGCAAGGACTATAAGAAGAAGTTACCTTTTGGATTCTTGCTCGTATCTGTGGTATTGTCCATTCATGTAATGTTCTAAAGAAGGCTTTCTATTCGAAACGTTCACTTGTCGCTTGTGTTTGCGATGATGTGAAAATGGTTAGTTGTATTTTTCGTTTGGTTTGTTATCTTTTCCGAACATGTTTCAATGTTCCTAGGTGGGGTTCTACATGAACCAGTTCATTGACGGTGGTCGCACTCTCATAAAGAGAGCTGCCAGAGTCCACCCTGACTACAGAGGCAAAGGAATCTTCCATCTTCTGAGCGAGGCCCTGGACAGACACCGGGAGCAGTTCTGGCCTCAGGTGGAGTATGAAGTCTTTGGGACAACGAACAGAGCTGACAGGGCGGCCAAGGAGTTTCAAGAGAAGGGCTTTGTGGAGCTAGTGAGGAAGGTCAGCAGTTCGTTTTGCTCTCTACACTTCTACTGTACAAGTCCTCCTTGCAAAGAGGTTGGATGTCGTTGACATAATTGCATAGATCCTCCTTGCAAAGAAGTTGGGTATCGTTGATATATTTGCATACATCCCGCTTGCAAAGAAGTAATTTCACTTCCGTCCTTTTTGGGACGTATTTTTTTGTTATTTGAAGCCCCACTCTGGCTTTTGCCAGGGGCCGCAATATAGGCAGGCCATCAAAATGGCCAAATGTCTGAACGCGGTTTCTGGGACCTCTCCACGGCGATCTTCATCCGCATGGTGGCACTTTGTGTCATCGGGTGTTTATCGCTTGTGTGATGTCCTAGTGGGGTAGAAATTCATTCATTCATTGCAAAGAAGTTTGGTATCGTAGACACATTTGCATACATCCTCCTTGCAAAGAGGTTGAGTATCGTTCACTTATTTTCATACATCCTCCTTGCAAAGAGGATTGGTATCGTTGATAAGTTTTCATACATCCTCCTTGCAAAGAGGTCGGGTATCGTTGATACGTTTTCATACATCCTGCTTGCAAAGAGGTCGGGTATCGTTGACACGTTTTCATACATCCTGCTTGCAAAGAGGTTGGGTGTCGTTGCCATTTTTGTACCATCTGGCCTACACCCCGTGCTCGACACAGTGTTGTGAAGAACCTATTCGTTTCTATAGAACTATAATTGTTAAGTCATGTGACATATGAAATGTCACAAGGGCAGTGTTCTTTACGACCTCTGTTAATTTTTTCCCCATCATCAACACCGTCCCCCTCATCATCACTGCTACTTTCATTTACTTCTTTTGCATCTTCTTTTGTCTTTCCATCCTGGTCTTTCTCATCCTTCTTCTTCTCCTTTACCTCTTCTGGTTTTTATTCCTTCTTTGTGTGGGTTAGTGTGTGTGTGTGGGAGTGAGTATGTGTCCTCTACCTTTTTTTCTGCTTCCTGAAAGGGTCCTTTACGCCTCAATTTAAGATGAAAGAGCTCATTACTTTACGCCTCAATGCAAGTTAAAAGAGTTTTTTACTTTACGCCTCAATGTAAGATGAAAGAGCTCTTTACTTTACGCCTCAATGCAATATAAAAGAGTTCTTTACTTTACGCCTCAATGCAAGATATGAGAGCTCTTTCCTTTACGCCTCAATGCAAGATGAAAGAGCTCATTACTTTACGCTTCAATGCAAGATGAAAGAGTTCTTTACTTTATACGCTTCAATGCATGATGAGAGGGTTCTTTACTTTACGCCTCAATGCAAGATGAAAGGGTCCTTAACTTAACGCCTCAATGCACGATGAAAGAGTTCTTTACTTTACGCCTCAATGCAAGATGAAAGGGTCCTTAACTTTTCGCCTCAATGCAAGATGAAAGAGTTCTTTACTTTACACTTCATTGCATGATGAGAGGGTTCTTTACTTTACGCCTCAATGCAAGATGAAAGGGTCCCTAACTTAACGCCTCAATGCACGATGAAAGAGTTCTTTACTTTACGCCTCAATGCAAGATGAAAGGTTCCTTAACTTTACGCCTTAGTGCAAGATGAAAGGGTCCCTAACTTAACGCCTCAATGCACGATGAGAGGGTTCTTTACTTTACGCCTCAATGCAAGATGAAAGAGTTCTTTACTTTTCGCTTCAATGCAATATTGAAGAGTTCTTTACTTTATGCCTCAATGTGCAAGATGAAAGAGCTCTTTACTTTACGCTTCAATGTAAGATGAAAGAGTTCTTTATTTTACGCCTCAATGCAAGATGAAAGGGCTCTTCACTTTACTCTTCAAAGCAAGATGAAAGGGTGCTTAACATAACGCCTAAATGTAAGATGAAAGGGTCCTTTACTTTTCGCCTCAAACAAGATGAAATGGTCCTTAACTTAACGTCTCAATGCAAGATGAAAGAGTTCTTTACTTTACACCTCAGTACAAGATGAAAGAGTCCTTAACTGTACACCTCAGTACAAGATGAAAGGGTCCTTTACTTTGATTTCCTGTCATTTACCATGCAATCTTCTTCTTCTTGTGTCCTACTGTTTAGGCTGTACAGCGTCGCAGATCGTAGTTAGATGTTATTTTCCTGTCTTGTGCAATGTACATAGCTTGTGCTGGGGGAGCCGCTGTGGTCTAGCGGCTAGATGCTCGGCTACCGTAGACTGAAGGTCGTGGGTTCTGTTCCTGACGGCCGGACGAATTTCTTTTTCAAAAATGACTTTGGCTCCCAGGATGACCCAGCATTGAGTCGGTACTTGGAAAGTAAAGGCGGCCGGTGTGATGCTGACCACACTACCCACCAAGTGCCGTTTGGTTTATAAAATATAGATCTAGCCCTATATACCCAATACGCCTAAAAAGCGTGGAAAAATGTCCTTCACTTTGATTATAGCTTGTGTTAATGTCTAGCACGTTTCTGAAATGTCTTATGTTTTTTCCCCTTACGCATATCTTCCTTGATTGGCCTCTTGACTTGTAGCTTTATCTTCTCAGATAGTACTTCGTATCCTCTGCTGATTTTGTTCCGTTCTGACCAGATGACCCAACCATGCATTATATACCCATAATTCACTTTAACTTTAAAAACTTTAAATTTAAAAAAAAAAAATCTAGTGCGTTTGCTTGTATGACTTCTCGCACTTGTCTGTTTGCAGCGCGTCTTGAACCTGTATGTCAGGATCGATGAACTCAAAGGCTTGGATGCTAACACAGGAGACCTCAGTCGTGTCACTAACATGACATACGACGACGTCAAACTTCTATTTGCCGACAACCTTGTTGTCAACAAGCTGTTTCCTAAAGGAATTATCTTCAACTGGTTTATCGGCTACATGTTTCTCGAATCAAACATCGGCTATCTCGTCGGCGACAACGAATTTGTGCTCGCCTCTACATCGTCGGAGACCCCATTACCACCTGGGGATTCTGGTGATCAGAAGTCAGGCAACTTTACACCGGAAACGATCAAACATATCGACGTGATTTCCTGTGCGCACAAACATACAGGAGTGTTAGGGTTGTCCTACGAGATAGATATCTACACAGCGGATGGATACGATGAGTCAATGATCAAAGCACATCTGATCAAACACTTCCGCGATTTCAGAGAATCCACAAAGAAAGATGGCATTACTATGATCACCTTTAACTCTAACGTTAAAGAGGAAGTGGTTGTTGGTTATCTAAACGAGCTCGGAATTGTGGATTTTATTCATAGAATGGAAACGTATAACAGCTTCTACAAGCGAAAACTGTAAATGAAAGCATAGTTAATTGCTGTTTCTCTGTTTGTTAAATTTAATATTCTTCTCTGTATTTTCGTTACCTTGCTCATTAATTACTTACAGTATTTTGTTCTGTGTATAAGACACAATGAATTCCCTCATTTTGTAAATTAAAAAAGGTGGGTTTGGGTGGGGGGGGGGGGTAGAAAAAAGGGGGGGGGGGGTAATCTTACATCCGTAATATGTTTACAATATGGATTCCTTAATTTCGGAAGCTGAAATATTTTGGTCATATCAAGCTCCATGGTGGAGTGGAATCAAAAATAATAGAAGGTATGGTACCAGGAAGAAGGGGCACAGAATATCAGTCACACTTTGAATATGAAAGTGCACGAGGCGGGCGAGCTGGCGAGAGACTGAGTTTCTCTCAGGCAGACCAAGTTGAGAGCGACGTCCTGCAAAAAAACCTGGTAAGTGATGATGATTTTTTTAATTTTGGGCTAAAGAAAAAAAAATAGGGTTCTTTCTATACATGGGGGCGTCCAGCACACTCTAAAAAAATGCAGCCTTCCCCATTTTACCGACCGCCGACTGCCTCTGAGGAACACATTTAATGTGTCTATGATACCGTTTATATCTTCTCTCTCTCTCTCTCTCTCTCTCTCTCTCTCTCTCTCTCTCTCTCTCTCTCTCTCTCTCTCTCTGTGTGTGTGCGTGCGTGTGCGCGTACGTGCGTGTGCTCGTGCGTGCGTGTACGTCCGTGCGTGCGTGCGCGCGTGTGCGTGTTTTTTTAAACGCTTCAGAGGGACTGCGTGGTCTTGAGGTATTGTTTCCGCCTCGAGTGCTAGAGGTCCCGGGTTCAAGCCCCGGTGAAGGCTGTGACTTTTTTTTGCCCACGTGGACTTCTAGTAATTTCCCCTGGTCTCCGGGTAGTGAGATCGGAAGCCCGTATGCATTGTTGCGCACGTAAAAAATCCATTGGCAGTTGGAAACCGAAAAGCGTAGCCTAACGGCGCTGTCCTGGCAAAATTTGGAGTTAAAAAATCTACCCAAAGTATTTCAGGACCCTCGTCGGTGTTACAGAGCTTGTGCCCCGTGCATAGCTTCTTCGGACTCAGACTTTAGTTAGAAGTAGAACGGAGCAGTTATGAGTTACTATCCGTGTGCACGATGATCCGCTCTTCAAACCTTCAAACCTTTCCATTTACATAACGAAAATAATGGAAAATTCATCCAAACAGTTTCACTTTTCGGATTTAAGACAACTGAACATTCCTGAGTATTCAAACCGCTTTAAGGGTAGGTTTGCCTTGAAACTTGTTTTTACCTGAAAGGGTGCCACAGCAAAAACAACAAAAAGTTTGAGAACTGCTGGTCCAAGCTATCCATGTATTTACATCTTTGCCTCTTTGCTATTTTCCTCCAAGTCAATCTTTCTGGTTGCCCGTGTGGGTTCTGGAGCCCTGTTATAGGGAAAACAAGAATAGACCAACTGCCTACCTAAAGACTGTCGTAACAGTGAACTCATTGGGAACTTCCTTCAAAGGTTGGAGTGCATCTGCCTGAGAGGCAAGGAATCAACAGTCTGCATTCAAATTAGTCAAATCTGTCAAATGGATGCACACGCTAAACTTAAATTTTGGAACAGAACTCCAGTCCACAAGTGGACGAACAACCAGAACTTTCCGCCAGTTTACAGCTGGAAAACGTGAAGGAGAAGAACCTTCTGGTCAAGGAAAGAAACTGAACGGAAAGTAGATCAGCGAGCTTCACAATATAATAAACAAACAAAACATGAACGTTGCAGCTATAGAGCCTTCATCAGCACATACTTAAATCAAACAAGACCAAACGAATATACAAAATCACTTATCAAAAATGAACCTTTCCGGTGGGCCTCTAGTTATCGATTACATTCCTTCTTACCTGCCCGCGGGTAGTGAGCATACTATGGATCTTTTCTCCAAACTATACCGGCGTGGTGGATAATGAACAGTCAGACAGATTGACTAGATCTGCACCACTCAGTGGTCAACTGATACATGACACGGCAGATGTGGTCAAGGCCCTTTGGGAACAAGCAACGGAATCAGTAAAGACAGACTATTATGGCTTTGAAAGAATGAGGCAGCTGGGTGTAACCAGGGGCTCTAGCCGGCTCACCACACTCAGAGGAAAGGCAAGAGGGAAATATAACCACATTGTAACCAGTACCATCAGTATTGGGACTCTGCGCTTGCTGCTGGGGATGAGTACGGAGCATGCATGGAAATGCCCAGTGTGCTGTGATGTCAATTCTTGACTCAACTCCTAACGTGCCTAAGAAACATCGAACGTCTGCTTCTAATTTGTGTCTGGTCAGTGTATTTTTGGCATTCGTCTCCAGAAGTCATGCTTGGTTTGTGTTTCTGTCACTCCATGATATATTGTTTGCGTTCTTAAAAAACAAAACAAAAACAAAACTTCGCTACGAGTACATGTTTTATGTGTGTCTTATCATGAAAAGATATCTAACCAACGAAAAGTAGAAACATTCAGTTTCTCCATTATCATAAACAAGTCAACGTTGCAGCTAGAAAGCATTCATCAGCATATGGCGCGAATTGACAGTGTTAGAATTACGAACAAGCATAAGATAATCTGCTTCGCGTTCACCAGCTGTAAACTCTGGTGGTAAGTTCTGGTTGTTTAATCCACTTCTGGACTGCAGTCTTGTTCCAGAACCTGGGTGTTGCGTGTGCATCCGTTTTACAGATCTGACTCTGTATGCAGTCTGCAGGTTCCTTGCCTCTCAGGCAAATGCACTCCGACTTTGAAGAAAGCTCCCAATTATTCGACTCTTACGACATGCTTTTGGATAGGCAGTGGGTCTATCCCTATAACAGGGCCATCGAGCCCACACGGAAACATACTTCTTATCGTCCATGTCTTACAATACATGAGGGACCCTTTTCCCACGCCTTTTGGTGTTTTGGGTATATAGGGCTAGACCAATATTTTGTAGGCCAAACGGCACTTGGGGGGTGATGTGGTCAGCATCACGAAGCAGCATATAACAACACATGTCTCGAGAACAAAAAAAAAATATTTAAAAAACGACAGATGCCACAAAAATAACATTAACGCATAATAATTCACAAATCGTTTATAATCTTCAGCCCGTGATCCTTCAAAACGGTACGTGATACACTGAATACCTCGAAGTAAGCCCGTGATCCTTCAAAACGGTACTTGATACACTGAATATTTCGAAGTAAGCCCGTGATCCTTCAAAACGGTACGTGATACACTGAATACCTCGAAGTAGTAAATATAATAAAGTAAAGCAACTAATAAAGTAATACATTACGTAAAAAAAATTACGAAGCAGATACGAACGATAATATCCGACGGTAATTAAACAAAATAGTCACTGAAACTTGAAACAAACCAATGTAGAAAGCGGGTATGTCCAAGTGAAACCCGGCGATGACGAACGTTGATGAGACAGGCAATATGTGGCTAACAGTTGGGGGTAGTCGAAGAAGAGGAGGGCTAAGAATAAACTCGAATGACACAACACCAAGAAATGGACAGGACTAAGTCATCATACACTTATTCACCAAGCAGAAGACAGAAAGATGGCGGGTTTTATATGCTAGTGCTTCCATCAATACACCTCCATGACCTTTATGGGTCAAGGGTTATGTTATGTAACAATTGAGACTGGACCTGAATAAAGCATAAAAACGACAGCACTACAGCATTTCTACGAAACCAACAAGCGGAGGCAGCACCAACGTTTTCGCCAGTTTTCAATGACATCATGTAGGGATGTATTTCTCCATCTATCGAAAAGCCTCCGCGACCGTCTCCACCTCCATTCTCCTGACTGGTGTGATGACGTTATACGGGAAGCTATCCTTCCTAAACAATGTCCATTATATTACCATAGTCTTGTCTTGTCCACAATTGCCTCACAGCGTAGTAGGGAGTCGCAGTTTTCTATCCTGGGCCAGGTGTGTTGCACGTGTTTTTGTTAGTCCGTGTTGCCTCAGGATCTGATATATTGTCTATCCATCGTACTCTCGGTCTGCCTCTTGCTCTAGGGCAGTAGTGCTGTTCGTTGTATGCTCGTAGAGGCAGTTGGTCGGTTTGCATTCGCATCAAGTGGCCAAACTAATCTATTTGTTGCTTCTTTATGTATTGCAGGCATGGTGTGGTTCCTACAATTGATCTAATGTTCTCGTTTCGAACTCTGTCTCTCCTTGTGACATTGGCAGCCTTACGTAAGCATCTCATTTCGCACGTCGTGATCTTTTTCTCCTGTGCTCTTATTAGGGACCAGGTTTGGCATTGGTAGCAGAGGGTTGGTATAAACATGCAATTTATCAGTTGTCGTTTTAGTGCCGTAGTGATGCTTGGGTGTTTTAGCAGTGGGGAGAGTTGGTAAGTTACTGCGTTCGCCTTTTGATATCTTGCCTCAAGTTCCCTATCAACAATTCTTCCATCATCTGTGAAGATGCTCCCTAAGTATTTAAATTGCTACACTTGTTTGAGTTGTTCGTTGTTAACGTAGTACGGTCTGGATTAAAAAGTTACTGTTTCGCTAGTTTGTGCAGCTATAAATCTTTCAAGGAAAGGCCCAGCAAACCGACAGAAGATATAATTGCTCAAACGTTGATGCTCAAGATAAGAAACTATTGAAATCAGAGTAGTAACAGGCACACAACCTAGCTCGACATTCAACATGATCACACTATTGTTTGTTTGTTTTAGTATCCAGAAGCCATGAGTTGTTAACCCTTAGGCTCGGTATTATGGGTATCGCAACCTTTCGGCCATGATTCCATTGTAAATACCGTAAATCTGGGAGAAAATGCTTTCCTGCCTACCCCCGGGATTGAACCCGGACCACAAGGAGTTCGTCACCCGCTCTCCGCGCAATCCGGTTTAGCCAACTACGCTAGAGAGCCGGGCAAATGATCACACTAAACGTATATGGTTTAGGGCAGGAAGAAGTAGAAACTGTTAATGTTATGGGAGAGGGGGTGGGGAACAAAGGTAGGCACAGTGGAAAGAGACGGGGGAAGACAGCGTGAGAAGATTCCTGACAGTCTGTCATGGAGGGGTGTCAGCATACGAACTGATTCAAGCAGTTGCAGATTGTGGAGAGGCATGATCGCACACGCCAGTCGGCAAGGCACTTGATGATAAGGCACAATACCTGTGAATGGTTTTAAGAATACCAAAGAATCGCATGGTTATTCATGTGGTCGGAATGGGAATCGCATGGTTATTCGTGGGGTCGGAATGGAACAAAATCAGCCAGCAGCGAGAGAGAGAGAGAGAGAGAGAGAGAGAGAGAGAGAGAGAGAGAGAGAGAGAGAGAGAGAGAGAGAGAGAGAGAGAGAGTACTTCGTGAGAATAGCGGGCATCAAGGCAGGAGGCTGACTAAGAAAGAAAGCTTAAAAAAAAAATAATACAGAAACGCAATATGACAACGCAAGCTCCACAGCTAGCAACAGACTGGAAACTACACCTCTCATCTTTGATACAATAAGTCCTTTTCATCATCATCCTCATCAAAATCGTCATCGTCATCATTATCATAATCGTCATCGTCATCATTATCATAATCGTCATCGTCATCATTATCATAATCGTCATCGTCATCATTATCATAATCGTCATCATCATCACCACCACCACCACCATTATCATCATCACCATTATCATAATCATCATCACCATAATCATAATCATCATCACCATAATCGTCATCATCATCACCATAATCGTCATCATCACCATAATTGTCATCATCATCATCATAATCGTCATCATCATTATCATAATCGTCATCATCATCGTCATCATCATCGTCATCATCATAATCATCAACATCGTCATCAACATCGTCATCATTATCGTCATCATCATCGTCATTATCATCATCCTCAAAACCAACACCAACAATAACAACAACAGCAAGCAACACCAGCAGCAGCAACAAAACCAACAACACTAACAACAACATCATCTTCCTGCCATGCTGGGGTTTTTTTTTTTTTACACTGAGACCCGCTACACTCTTGTATACAATCTTGCTATGTAGAAATTAGCACCATTCTTGTCAACGTTGTTCTTATGAATTCTTTTGGACGTTCTCGCTTCCTCGGTCCACTTTTACTCATTTCAGTGACCGTTTTGGGAACATGAATTCTCTACACTTTTAGTTTCCGTTCATAGAAGACCGTATGAGTTTCCGTATTTGGAACAAAATCAACAATACCGTAATCCTTCAAGCAAGCAAGAACGAGCTCCTCGCCGAGTCCCGGGTTAAGTGTGATTATGAGAATGCCATCTTTGTTCGTGGATCGTTTGTAATCTTCTAAGTGTTTTAGTAAATGGGTCTTGATCAGCGTGTCATCGTATCCTTCAGCCGTATACAGATCTATCCAGTACGTCAAGCCGCCTCCACCTTCATGCTTGCGAGCAAACGAGAGAATATCAATGAGTTTTATCGAGTCTGCGGTGAAATTATGATTTGGCCGATCGACTGACTCTTTGGCTGGGGTTGCTGACGATGTCGATGCAAAGACAAATGCATTATCATTCACAAAATGTTCGATGTTTTCTTCAAAAATTTTGTAGCCAAGAAACCAGTTGTAGAGAACGCCATTTGGGACCATTCTGTTTACGACATCCTTGTTGGCAAAGAGAAGTTTGACGTCATCATAGGTCATAAGGGTAAGGCGAGCGGCTTCGTCTGGGTTAGCATCCAGTCCTTTGAGATTGTCAGTCGGGACAAGTAGGTTCAGAATGCGCTGCGAACAGAAAGTTGGTCAATATCTGTAAATGTGTGTCAGAAATATGGCTACATGTTTAACCACGTTCAAACTCATGACATGTGTATGGCTACAGTTGGTCAAAATCTGCATCCTGATTCAGAATATGGCTACAAGTTTAATTTCACATGTCTGAACTATGACATTTGTATGGCTACAGTTGGTCAAAATCTACAGCCTGAATCAGAAATATGGCTACATGTTTAAGTGAACACTTATAAACACATGACATTATTCTGGCTACGGAAATTATACCACTTCTGGTTTTTAGTCTTCTTGCATAACTTGAGATGCACTTGAAAATCCGTTTGATAAATTTGGTTTATTTCTATGCTGTTTGTTGGTTCCTCTGCTCTCATGAAGATGCACCCCAACTTCACATAAAACACCCCTAGTTTGACATCTTTTACGACATTCACAGAAAACACCCATAGTTAGACATCTTTTACGACATTCACAGAAAACATCCATAATTAAACACTCCGTACGACATTCCTCTTAGAGAAGGGAAGCAGTGGATCTAATTCCTAACCCTCTTCCCCCACCCCTTTCCCGAATAAAGGGCCTCCGAATTCACACGAGGAAACCCTCATGTATTATGACTGGAACACATAGAGGTTATCAAAAAAAAGCATAATCTACCTTTCTCATAACTGGAACATGCAGAGATTTTCCCCAAAACATAAAAAATTTTCAGTATTATGATTTGATTATACAGAGATTATTCTAAAAGCATTATCTGCCTTTCTGGATTATAATTTAAATATACATAGATTATCCCAAAAGTATATTCTACTTTTTTGGATTATGCTCGGAACATACGAATATTATCACAAAAGCATAGCCTACCTTTCTGGATTATCACTGGAACATACAGAGATTATCCCAAAAACATAATCTACCTTTCTCATAACTGGAACATACAGATATTATCCCAAAACATATCTACTTTTCTGTATTAGGATTTGGCTTTACAGAGATTTTCCCAAAAACAATCTAACTTTCTGGATTATGGATGGAACATAAAGAAATTATTCTAAAATAATAATCTACCTTATTGGGTTATGACTGGAACGTACAGAGATTCTCTTGAAAGCATAATCTACCTTTCTGGATTATGGCTGGAACTTAGAGATTATCCTAAAATAATAATCTTCATTACTGGTTTATGACTGGAACAAACAGATTATCACAAAAACATAATCTACCTTACTGGATTATGATTGGAACATAAAAGATTATCAGAAAAACAATCTATCATTCTATAATATACTTGGAACATACAGAGATTATACAATAAGCATTATCTACCTTTCTTGATTATGGTTGGAACATACATTATCCCAAAAATCATAATCTACCCTTTCTGCGCCTCAGCTGGAACTCTAACTCAACCGTCAAACAGGCCAGCACATGTGCCAGCCTATGCACAAACAATTTTTCTTGTGTTAAAACGCATGACCGTCAAAGGTGGAGGAAGCTGATTATTCAAAGGCAGCTGGTGATCCAACGGGGAGATGATGTTGATGATGAACCTTTTGAATACAATTGATATACCTTCTTACCTTTCTCACAATCTCCGTGAAGCCCTTCTTCTGAAAACCCCCAGCTGACCCGTCAACCTTGTTCGTTGCCCCAAACACTTCATACTCCAGATGTGGCAAGAACTGCTCCCGGTGTCTGTCCAGTGCGTCGCTGAGCTGATGGAAGATCTTTTTATCTCTGTAGTTAGGGTGAACTCTGGCAGCTCGTTTAATAAGAGTGCGACCACCGTCAATGATGTGGCTCATATAGAACCCAATCTGCGGAGGTTTAATTGCATCATATATTCATATATAGTCATAGTGTGATCACAATATCTTGAGCTGAAAACGGGACATCCCACTATTATTCTGAGCTGAAATGGGACATCCCCCAAATATTTTAAGCTGAAAATGGGACATACCAAGCAAGTCATCACCCCTACACTGTGGTTATCCATTTGCATCTCTGAATTTTACACGCTCTCCCACATTTATTAATCGTTTAGCGAAATAATACATTTTAAGAACATAAGGATATAAAAGTATATAAAACCATCAAATCTAATCAGATCTACATATATAAGTATATGTGGTATGTTCTGTTCTCAAACATTCCTAGATTTTTTGTTATAATAGGACAATTGATGTTTTTTTGGGAAAGAAAACGGGACTGTCCCTGTGAAAACGGGACTGTCCCTGTGAAAACGGGACATATCATAATTGTATATCAACATGGGAGCTGCTCTGGTATAGCTGCTAGACGATTAACCTGTGAGCACTAAGTCGTTGGCTCGAATCCGTATCGAGTCGGATTATATTCAAAAATGACACTGGTCGATCCACCCTAAAATGAGTACTAGACAAGGTTATGTGAATAAAAGCGGTCTTTCAACTGGAACCCACAGGCGCAAAGAAATAAAGAAGACCAAAACAGCACATGGAGAAGGGAGTTAGAGAGTACAATTAAACAGATGTGGTGGACATGGGGAGAGCTGCATACGACAGCAAAGGATAGAAATACTCAGTGCGAGTTGGTTCAGGGCCTATGCTCCACTGGGGGTGGGGGGGGGGTGTTAGAAAGGCAGAAGAGGAGGTTCACTATATCACCTATCTAGTGCGGACTGGTCTATAACAAAATGAGTTAATAACATATTCTGAATGCGCCACTGGCGTTGACAAAGTCCTCTACTTGACAATATCAGTATATAATTAACGAAGGGACAATGTGGTGATAGGCACTCATAGAAAGTAGTAACAAGACAGAAGGACACATTAGATAACTAAAACTTTATTAATGTTGACAGTATCAACCTACTGATCACATGTTGGTGTCCCCGCGGTCATGTTGTTAAGCCGTTTGCCTGCGCGCTCGGAGGTCGAGAGTACGTCTCAGGGACTGCTGCGTTTTGTGCACGAGTGCAGTTGTTACGACCCAAGACCTTGGATTTCAGTAAAGCCTAAATTAGTCGTCTGTTAAGGTATGCTTGTTAAGAGGCACCAGGTCTATTCTTTAGCCTCTAAAATGGGCTCAGGAACCGAGGTAGGGAAAGTTCTTCGGACAGGTCGTAATTTTGTGCTGTCTCTAGGGTTGAATGTTGAATTAAGAATAGGCATCATAATACTCAGGACACTCACATATGCGCTCCGTTTCAATCTTCAGCAGAAAACGAAGAGTTCTAACTCCGATGGTACCAGTAACTGTCCAATTGTATTTTTGTCTCGCCCTTCCATTTATTGTTGAGCATCAGCCAGATTGTCACAGACCTCTGGGTGACCTTGCTGGTCTGTGGCTTGTAACTGGGCCTATGACAGACAGACTAACCTTCAACACACACTGAATTGATCTGTTCCTAGAAGGCAACATCCTTCCAAAAGAGGAAAACGCCACATATTTGGGAGTATAATTCGACAAAAGGCTAACTTGGGGCCCCCACATTGAAGTCACCCAACGGAAATCTACCTTGCGGTTCAGACTTTTAAAGAAACTTTCTGGAACAAGCTGGGGTGCAAGAACAAGCTGGGGTGCAGCCGTCATTACTGTACGACAAGTATACACAGGATACATCAGACCAAAACTGGAGTATGGCATGGAAGCATACTACACTGCAGCCAAATCAAACCTACACAGACTAGACAAAATACGTAACAATTCTCAGAATCATCACTTGATGTTTGAGAAGCACACCAATCAATGAGCTGGAGGCAACTTCTGGCTTTCAGAGCTTGAGCCTTCAAAGAAAAGAGAAGGTGCTTACCCTAACAGAAAATTGTAAACACATGAACAACAACCCCGTGCACAGCATAGCAAACAGCTTACCTAAAAACCGATTGAAAAGACAAAGCTTTCACCATCTATCAAAATTATACTACGCAAAAAAAAAAAAAAAAAAAGTGACATCCTTGCTAAAGATTCTTCAACATGGGAAATTGTCCAGGCATACAGCATAGACCTACAGCCTAACTATACAGTCACAACAACAATCCCAGCCATAGACAAAGGCGGAATAATGTGACCTAGTACTGCATGCAAAGACCCTTGAACATGTCTAGAACTCTTATCCTAAACCCTAATAGGCACACGTATATACCAATGGATTAATGGAGGGAGCAACAACAACAACAACAAACACGGCTAAGCTGGATCAGTCATTATGCTGCAAGATGGGATCACAGATGAAACGCCATGCGCCCCCTGGAGACTCGACAAGCTTTTGAGAAGAGTAGCAAACAATTATTGATGCAACCAAAGGGCTTAAGGAAAGAAATATTAACAGCACAATTGTTTTCCTTTGTGACTGCATGTCAGTCCTTCGGGTGACTCGGAGGGATCCACGAGACAACATGGAGAGAGAACTGACTCACCTGTTAAGACACGCAAAAAAAACCAAAATGTTCTCCAGTGAATCCCGGCTCACTCCGGCATACCTGGAAATGAGTTGGCAGACAGACTTGCAAGAAATAAACAAAGGAGGCACAACCCACCCATTCATTGTCATTATCATAAATCAGAACACTTATCAAGGTAAAATACAAAGAATTGTGGAAAAAACTAACAGTAAACACCCACAATACCCCATCAACAGACTCAACAGAAAGCCACATACAACAGTTTTCCCTCTACGAACAGAACACTGCAGGCTCAACTAGCATAAATAAAAGTGCAACTCACCGCTTTGCCATCTAGCTCAGCAACTAAAGGGTAAATGTCGGGGTTGTCAAAGTAGGTGTGGTAGTGGGCTTTCAGGTAATCCCTGCCGTAGTAGACATCCCCAATCCCCATCAGGTCGTTGAAATCCTCGGGACGTGCGGGTCGAATGATCACGTTAGGGGTCTCCGCTGCCATTGCAATAGTTTCGCCTAGAACACTGAAAACATTTTCCATGCATGTATTCTTTGGAGAATTAGCTACGGTGGTTGAAAATTGGTGAACTAGACAACATTGTGTGTGTGTGTGTGTGTGTGTGTGTGTGTGTGTGTGTGTGTGTGAGAGAGAGAGAGAGAGAGAGAGAGAGAGAGAGAGAGAGAGAGAGAGAGAGAGAGAGAGAGAGAGAGAGACGGCGTCTGTGGCTTACGCATTGCGAACTCCCTTCGAAAGGATGGGGTGCCGGGTTCGATCCCAGCTGTGGCCTGTTTGCGCTGGTTTCGACAGTGGAACTGAAAGCTGACCGTTTAGGTGGCAAACTGCTGAACGTAAACTTTGACTAGAGTAACATCTAAACATTGATGGTGCTGGTTCTGTAACGTATTGTGTAAAGGATGCGTAACTAACTTTGTTTCATATATATCTATATGTATAACAAACATACACGTATTGTTGACTCACTTATAGAAAAGTACAAAGACAAACAAGAGAACCTGTTCCAGAACCTGAGTGTTGCATGCATATCTGTTTTACAGATCTGTCTTATTTGTATACAGATTGTTGGCTTCTTCCCTCTCAGGCAGATACACTCTGACTCCAAAGGAAGCCCCTAGTCAGTCGACATGCTAGCTGGGGAGGCAGTTGGTCTATCTTGTTTTACCTACAATGGGACCCCGTAACCCAAACAAGAAAGTGCGTTTACAAATTGGTGCCGATGTTTAACAAATTATACATCACCTGCAGTGTAACGTAAATGGTTGAAATTATAAAATATTTACTACATTCTCATCGTTATATCAGATATGTTTTCTCGCATAACAAATAAGAATGCATTTTTGTTTATTGGAAATACACAAATATACGATGATCCTTGCAATTGTTGCCTTTTAAGAGTTACACAGCACAAAGTTCAAATGTAACCATTTGACCTTTTCCAAAACACACGTTTCTTTGTTTGATGTAAATTCCACAACTTTTGCGCTTAAATTGTCACGACACGCTATAAAATTATTGTGCAGGATCGCTTCCAAGTACGTGGAAGGCTGTAAAGACGTATCTTATGACTGACTGACTGACTTTCTACCCGACTAGGACATCACACAAGCGATATGGATGAGGATCACCGAGGAGAGGTCCCAGAAACCGCGATCTGACAATTGGCCATATCTATGGCCTGCCTATATTGCGGCCCCTGGCAAAAGCCAGGGTGGGGCTTCAAATAACAAAAAATTTCATCCTAAAAAGGACGTAACAATTTTAACACCTATCTTGTGTGGTTAGGGTTAGGGTCATTCATGTCGGTACTGTAAAATGTGTTCGGTTATCTAATTAAAATTACACAAATGATGAAAATATAGAAAATGTCGGTTTATATATAGCTGGACAGTCTAAATATTATTTATGCATAAAATAGAGAAATGAAAATAGGAGGAAATGTGGGCTTTTTTTTTGGGGGGGGGGGGGGGGGAGGTCTGGAGGTTCGGAGGGGGAAGAGTTCGGGGGGGGGGGGGGGGTAATAGCATTCCCATGGTACGTAAATTACCGCTAAATTGTCGAAAATGTTATTCCCCCCCCCCCCCCCCCCACCCCAAAAAAAAAAAACCGCACTATAACGCACACAAAGCGGTCGAAAATGGAATTCGTGATTTAAAAACCATTTACCGGGTACAATACCTCCCTGCTAGAACCAACATTTTGCTCGTTAACCGAGTGTTCTTCTTAAGCGTGTGAACGTTAATGAGATTTAACTATTTCTCAAAGATGTTTTTTGTTGTTGCCATAACTCGTTCGCTACCAGCCTCTTATTGGTTCAACTCACTTCCAGAGAAGTTCTCATTTTTTTTTAAATTTATCGAACGTCTGAGTTTAATAACGACATTGTTAGAAGAAAGAGATGAAATAGCTATTCAGATGAATCAGTAAATCTAATGTGTCATCATCTTGTAGCATGTACTTTGCAGAACGTCGCTCTTATCACCGTCTTCCTGAAGAAACTCGATTTCTCGCTAGCTCTCCCGCCTCATGTACTTTCATACTCGAGGAGTCAGATCCTGTGCCAATCTTGGTATGGGTTGGCCCTTGTCCCTCCTTCCTTTCTCTAGCTCTCCCGCCTCATGTACTTTCATACTCGAGGAGTCAGATCCTGTGCCAATCTTGGTATGGGTTGGCCCTTGTCCCTCCTTCCTTTCTCTAGCTCTCCCGCCTCATGTACTTTCATACTCGAGGAGTCAGATCCTGTGCCAATCTTGGTATCGGTTGGCCCTTGTCCCTCCTTCCTGGTACCATGCCTTTTGCTACATTTTTTTCCAATCCGTCTTTTAGTCATGCTATGACAAATATTTCAGCTCCTGAGACAGGATGCTGTTTATTAGCCAATTTTCCTTGATGTTCAGATCTTTCAAGTATTTCTCTTCTTTGTTCAGGATATTCTGAGAATCTTTCTTTAGCATTTCAGCTTAAAAGCCTTTAGTATCTTTCTTAAGGACTGGGAGATAATCTAAAGTGAAGCTGTGATAAAATCAAGTCAGAAAGTGTTTATGTCTTTGGACTAGCTAAAAAACGAATAATGACTGCATTTAACGAAAAGAGTAAATAGCTTTATGGTCATATCTTACGGTACGTGCTAAGAATCCCACAAGAACCGTTCAGTTTCTTTCAAGATATCCTCATTACTCATTTTGATGTGTGCAGAGTATTCTCATCATTCGTCTATAAAACCATATCTCCGCAGCTTCTAAATAAGTGATCATTAGTTTACTAACTGTCCATGATTCACACTTCTAGAACACACTATAGTATGCATATTGTAGGATCTAACTGTAACAAGTTCAGCTTGAAGTCATAAAAACTACGGTCGGTCTAAATTATGAAATAACTATGCATGGCATATCTTAAGTTACAGACTTACCAAAGCTGTTTCTAGGTTGTCGAGAGGATTTTAACCGTCACAGGCAGTATGTTTTTCAACTTACTGTACTGATAAACTGCATGTTCAGTGGCTCCTAAATAGTCCAGAGGGTTACATTTTAGGGTTTTGTGAACTTGTCCCGGGTTATTGTCGAAAACGTTATTTTGACTTGTTTCTGTGCCCGTGCCCACGATTATCAGGTCACGTCCGCACGTGAAATTGATGATCGGGTGAACATTTCAGGCTGTTATCCCTTGTCCGAGCTACAAGCCAGACAGAGATTTGTTTTAAATCTAAGGATGGTATGGACAGTCTTTATTTAACAGTCCGGAGGAAAACAGGAATAAACCCACTTCCTCCATCACAAGCATATTGTAAGAGTCAACTAATTGGCATTGTTCGAGTACATCTGCTTAAGATGCAAGGGACCAACAGTCTGCATACAAATAAGTCAGATCTGTAAAACGGATGTGCACTAAACACTCATGTTCTGGATTGTTCCATAATCTCCAGAGGTGAACGAACACTCAGAACTTTCTGCCGTAGTTTACAGCCGGTGAACGTGAAGAAGAAGAAGAAGAAGAAGAAGAAGAAGAAGAAGAAGAAGAAGAAGAAGAAGAAGAAGAAGAAGAAGAAGAAGAAGAAGAAGAAGAAGAAGAAGAAGAAGAAGAAGAAGAAGAAGAAAGAAAGAAAGAAAGAAAAGAGGAAGAAGAAGAAAAAGAAGAAGAAAGAAGAAGAAGACGACGAAGACGAAGAAGACGAAGAAGACGAAGAAGAAGAAGAAGAAGAAGAAGAAGAAGAAGAAGAAGAAGAAGAAGAAGAAGAAGAAGAAGAAGAAGAAGAAGAAGAAGAAGAAGAAGAGAAAGAAGAAGAAGAAGAAGAAAAAGAAGAAGAAAAAGATCGTAGATGATAAACTGATTGATCGATCGATGGATCTCTTTCCCCTCAGCTGACAAACGAAGATGGCGTAGAATATTTTACGGTTCAGCTTGAATCGAATGTCTTTCTTTCCGCATTCATCTGCCAGTAAACTCCGGCGGAAAGTCATAATTGTTCGTCCACATCTGGACTTTTTGCCTTGATCCTTCTTCTTTGAATGGTTTTCATTTGTGCAGAAGTTTTGTCTTGACATTCAATATGCCGGGTAGCCGGTTTACTAGTGGGCTGGTGAAAAGGTTAGTTGTGTATTCTTTACCAGGCGTTGTAGAACCAACCCCAACAGCCCCTGGCTGTTGTCTGGTTTTTCTAGGCAAATTTACCTCCAGTAGTTTGCCATTGCTCACTGGACGGTCGGCTTTCTTGATACCACTGTCGAAACCAACGCAAGGCGCATGGCCCGCAGCTGGGATCGAACCCGGCATTACGAAGCGTTCGCATCGACTTAGCCACAAAGCCGACGGGCTGGTGAAATACCTTTCAATAATAATTTTACGAGTGTATAGTAGCCAACACAACACGAAGTCGCCGTGGCGTAGTGGCTTGACGCTCGCGTGTGGATCGTAAAATCAAAGGTTTGCTCACTGGGGGATCAGGACTTTTTTTCAAAAATTACGTCGATTGTGATAATGATGATGATGGTGGTGGTAGTAATGATGATGATGATGACATGATGGTGATGATGATGATGATAATGATGATGGTGGTGGTTATTATGATGGTGGTGATGATAATGACATGATGGTGATGATGATGATGATAATGATGATGGTGGTGGTTATTATGATGGTGGTGATGATAATGACATGATGGTGATGATGATGATGATGATGATAGTGGTGATTATGGTGATGGTGATGGTGATGATGATGATAATTATGATGATGAGGATGATGGTGATGATGGTGATGATGATGGTGATGGTGATGATGGTGATGATGATGGTGATGAGGATAATGGTGATGACGATGATGATGGTGATGATGGTGGTGATGATGATGGTGTAACGATTACACTCGAGAGTTTGCCACGTGTTATTTTCCTCCTAGTCGCTTCGCTGTTCGGAGTTTGCGTGCGCAAGATAGAATCGTAGTACTGGTAAGTGGTAGCTTTGACGCGTCTTAGTTTCTGAATGAGT